AAAAGAAAAGAAAGAAAGAGAGCAGGAGAGGAAAGAGGAGGTATAGAGCCAGAGAGAAAGCTTTTGAGATAGATGAGTGATATATCTCTTACAGGGACTATGGGCTGACACAGTGTCTTCCCTGGCCTCGCTTGTCATGCCACTTAGTCGTACTTATCTTCTTAGTGGCCTCCAGGAGCAAAGCCAGGCTCACTGCTTCTCTGAAAATCCACTTTAAATGGTCTTCTCCACCCCCCACAGAGCACGGCAGTTGTGACGGAGACGGCACACCCTTGCCTGCCTGCTCAGGAGAAGAAATTGGCTCTTCTCTCGAGAAGCTGGAGAGAAACCTGTACATCTGCCAAAAGAGCCTCGAGAACTCTTTTGGCTGAGGAAAAGAAGGCTGCCGGAAGGAGGTGAACACAAGGAGCAATGGCTTCTGCCTGGGGCCCGGCTTAGCAGCTGCTCCTGCTCTCAGTCACTTCGGGCAGGATGTGCCACTAGACCGCCATGGACACGGCCCCGGGTGCAGGCCTGCAGCTGCAGCAGCTTCCGCCCCCCAGCAGCGCCACCTCCGTGAGCGTGAGCGAGGGCTCCTTCTCCTATAAGGCAAGTACTCATTTTTCGATACTGGACCTTTGTGTGTTTCTGACAAAAAATCAACAAATGCAACATTGGCTGACCCAAAGCTAAAGGAAGCACATAAAACAGGGAAGTTGGGGCCTGGGAAATGGCTCAGTGGAATAAGCGCTTCCCTGGCAAGCACAAGGGCCTGAGTTCAATCCCCGGTTAAACCCAAAAAAGGAAAGTAGAGAAACATGGTGGAGGGATGGCACTTGATCACTTAGAACATTGGGGTTTTTAAAAATCATCTACTTTCTGAGCCATGCATGATGGCACATACCTGTATTGCCAGCCACTTGGCAGGCTGGGCTGGAAGGATGAGTTCAAGGTCAGCATGAGTTGAGGGACCTTGTCTCCAAAAAAGAGAAAGAAACCACCTACTCCATTACTTGGTGACGATCTCTGTTTATGTTTTAGTCCATCTCCTTGTCATTCATTTTTTTCTGGGGTACAGATGTGGAGTCACATTATGCATAGGATTTTGGGATTTGGTTGGTTGACGCAGTCTTACTGGTGGACTATTTCCCAGTGGCTTTGCGAGTGACCGAAAGCATGTTTTTGGAATAACTTCCAGGTAGTCTTCAACTGCTGGGTGAAAACTGTGTGCTGGACAGAAAGAGAAGTTCCCCTTATTGGATATTTAGGTTGTTGGTAAATGGAAATGACTGTTAACAATGGGCATCCCAGAGTGGAAATTCTTTTAGTCAGATAAATATGTCAAAAGGAGTGAACCTTTTTAAAAATAAGGAGGTTTTCTAATGTCAGTTTTGCGTATTTCTAAACACCTATCCATGCAGCATCTGAAACACCGAGCAATGCAGCATTTGGAGATATCTATATC